ACCACCTCCTCTCAGGCAGTTACTTGCCAGCTGGTGACCAGAGGGTAGCAAGCATTTATTTGGACATTTCCTCCTGTGGGTCTCAACTTACAGTTTTTGGATGCTGGCTGTGCTTTCTTTAACCAGTTTGCTTCCTGCTCTAATACTGAGCAGGTGCATTTTGAAACAGCAGTGAAATGCTAAATATCAGCATAATGCTGAATGAACATCAAGAGAAAGTGTTTCCTGCCTTGTTGCATTTGTTTCCTGGTCTTTATGCATGTGCTTTTTAAGAATTGCAAATAATTCATAAGCACTGGGCTTAAGTTATGCACAGGTGCTACAAGCAGCACTGGCCCCACTTTATTACTTTAAAAACATTTTGGATCCTGTTCTCACGTTGCCTATAATCATCATTTTTAACAGCAGCTACCTCCTTCTAATCTCTCCTCAGAGATTAGAAGCTTTTGCAACAGAAAAAGGAACTGTGCCAGTACCACGGTTATCAATACCAAGGAAATGCAAGATCATTGTTCAGCAAGCAATAGGCATGGTGATTGTACAGGGACAGACAAAAGGACTTTTAAACCCATAAACCCCAGTGTGCACTAACCAGGACACAACACTGGAAGGAGGGCAAACTCACCCTGTAGTTAGTCAGGCAATCTAACAGAACAATTCCTTTCCCACGTAATGGAAATGGCACAGACACAAAAGATATTTTAACCACCCTTCTATAATATGGGACTATAAGGAAATGCTTAGTGTAGTGCTACTCAGAATGACAAGCAGAACTTTCACAATACCACTGTTGCTCTGGAAGGAAAGGGAGAACATGAAGGCTCAAAGGGTGAGGTGGGCACGATCCAGCACTGCTGATGGTCAGGCAGGGGCTCTGTGGGCTGCAGAAGGGAGCTGAATGCAAAGCAGCAGCAGGGACTAACAAGAAAAGACATGGAGGAGCTGAAGGTAAAACATGGAGGTGCAAAACATGTGCAAAGCTGACGTTTCTAGGATTGTAGGAAAATTCAGGTAGGAAAAGACCACAGAAATCATCCAGTCTATTCAGGATTCCCTCTCAAAGGAAAGTCAACTACAAGGTCAGGTTGCCTTACTCAAGCTTCTACACTCCTGCACACAGGCAAATATCCTGGGGAAGTGAGTCTCATCCTCAAACCTGACCCTCTTGAACAGTCCAAAGCTCCTGAGGGCAGGCAGGGGGAGAGGTCTGGCAGGTACTAAATACAGAATGTGCTGACTGGCAGCAGGGAGCAAGAAGCTGTGCAGAAAACCCACTGTGAAGGTGTTCCCTTGATGAAGTGCTCCTGCTGGAACATTTTGGAGTTCAGCCATCCAAGCACATTACAAAGAAGTAAAATCAAAAGGGGTTGTCCTCACTTCAGTCCTTTTAGAGTCTCTCCATTACTGACTGATAACTAGCATGGGACATACACATTCTTCATACCAGCGTTTTCTTACCTCATGCTCATCTTAGAAACAATACTCCTGCATACACAATTATATATTTAAAAGTCAAAGGACTAGCTGGTCCAGCTGAACATGTGTAATTAACCTTTGTTTAACTGCAAAAGCCATAGGAAACCTCCTAATGTTTTTGGTTGATTTATATGTTGCAACAGCTTTCTTAGTCTCTCCTAGGCCCAGACATCTAGCCCACAAATATGTGTGGCTAATGGGACACAGCAAATTTTTTCCAACCATTCTTTTATGTTTTGGTTTTTTTCATACTGTTAAACATTTGTAATAGTTTCCTTATTTTGCCCTAAAGTGAAGAAAAAAATTCCTAGATGCTACATATAAGAGAAACTCATGCTCCCTCCACTTCTATGAGACTCCCAAGGACTGAGAGTTCAGGGTGGCAGCTCACCACCAGTACCTATGGATCTTTTAGAAAGTTTTTGCTTTTAAAATATGTATAAAATCTACAACTCTGACTCACAAAATGAAACAAACAAAAAATAATTCAGCAACACTGAAACTGTTTGCTGCAAAGACCAGATCAACCCAGAGAGCCACCACACATCTATAAGGCTCTGATTCTCAGTTGGAATTGCTGACACTTCTTGAACAAGAACTTCTGGCCAACACATGGACTGGCACAACTGGGAATTTTGTGCAATTATAATAGGCTTATATGAAATAATCAAGGCTCTGTGAATCTAACTTATTCTCCTGGAGAAAGTACTAGTAGTTGTACAATTACTAATGAGACTCAAATGCTACTTTTGTATAGTTTAAAGCAAGAAGATAGAGCTCATGCATGAGACTTCTCCCACTGGGAACCAATTTGTGCATATTTCAGATCTACATTTGATAAGACAACTTCTATGTTTGATAAGACAATTTCTGCATTTAGACATCATGAAGCTTCCCCAAAAAGAAGACATGTCCAGTGCCTTTTGGGAAATATTTCCTTGAATGACTCTGAACAAGATATATGAAATGCAGCTTTGGAAGCTGGAAGTTTGGAAGATAAAGTGCATGGAGCCCAAGCTGGCTGGCAGGGAAATAATTTAAAAGCAGGATGCTGTTGATTAGACTGACAAGTGATGTTTTAATCTGGGTAAACAGACACCGCCTATTCTCTAGAAATAACCCTGAGTAACATTGGTCAGGAACAGGAACAAATGCTTCATTATCCCCAGGGAAGCACTGCCAGCTTCTGAACAGCAGTTTGCTTTTCTAAATGATGTTTGAAAATTTGGTTTAGACATGATTACCCTACCTGTCCTTGAAACATTAACCATATTTCAGCTATGATTTCAACAGATCCTACAGTGGAATATGTGAAACCTGCTGTTTTCAATGGTAAATGGTGAAGCACTCTCCTGTGCCGGGAAAATTTCAAGCCCTCAGGTGTGATTTTCATTTGATTTAGGATTAATCCCTGCAGAGTGCTCAACTGGATTACAAATTTAGGAAGGATATAGGCTCTAGTTTACAGCCACATCGTCCACTTGAGAAATAGTCAGAGAATAGATATTCAACAGTACTCTCACATTTCAAGTAACTAGATTGAATAAAACATGCATTAAAAAAATTAGAGACCTATCTATTTGTTTTGATTTCTGCCAAGTACTCACTTGGCCCTAAGTTAACATTTATGTTAAATCTTATGCTTTCCATCTCCAGGGGCAGGAAGCAGGAAGCCAGCATTAATTGCACAACATTTGAGTGATTCACAGTTAAGAACTCATGTGGGACAGTGAAAGAAAAAACCCAACAAAAAATCCAAGGTTTTAAAGGTGCATGGAATGCACATTAATTCCTAAGTCTTTTTTTATCTGTTCTTTGACAGAGGAGGAAGAGTCAAAACCTTGACACCCTGAGACCATGCAGGATCCAGCTCTGTTGGGGAACATTGAAAGCACAGGCTGGAACTGGGAAGTAGCAGCACAAGGCTGATATGGTCCTTTAGATGACTGAAGCTATTGACAGAGCTCCTTTCCTTGCAGCCACTTAGAATTTTATCCTAGGAGGGGAATGAGAAGGTGCCAAGGAGTTGCTGGAAGCCAGGTTAGAAATTCAAAGAAGCAAACCAGCCTTTTTGACTTCAAGATGCCAAAGTGGTATGTTTATAGACATCACAGTTTGGTGTTATACCACTGAAGAACAGTACTGCAAACTTACACACCTACTCAAGTAAAGCAGAGTTTACATGAAATAAATAAGCTGCTCACAGAAACTTTTGATGTAACAAACAGTCCTGTAAAACTCCCATCTCTATTCAGATACAAATTTGAAACTCTATTTTCATGTGGTCATCTTTCTAAGACTGTTCACCTCTGTGCAAAAGTGAAAAATAAGATAGTGACTTCAGCAACGCTTAGAAGACAGTTGGAAAGCTTGTGTTCCTTTCCAGACAACATTACTACAAATAATTCCCTCTTCCCAAGGAAAAGATTTTTCATGCTTCTTTAGCACAATTGGCTGCTGGAATCTCCAGCCAGTCCACCTGTCCATCCTACCAAACTGAGAAGTACTTTAAGCACTAAGTGATAAAACCTGGCTCCAACTCTTGCTTTGAAGTGATTGGCTTTAGGCTGACTTTAAAACCTGCTGTAAGTCAGTAAGTTTACTGCAGACAGGTCTCTCTGTGGATCATACACAGCTTCAGCTCCCATTGGTACCATGTACTCCTCAAACAGCACTTTGCAGATCAGTGGTGCAACCACTGACAGAAAAAGGAAACTAAAAGGAAGGAGAAATGATAGGAATGTTTAAAAGACAAATCACACCTCCAAAGAAGGGAACATCTAAGCTATGGCAAAAGAATTGACACTTTCTTATCCCCACAGGTGTGTAACACAGATCTGGATGATGCTTTGGTCACTACAGTGCAGACTCTAAAACCCGAGGCTTCAGCCTCCCTAAATAAAAGAAAGCTTATGGAAGAGCATTTCTGGGGGAGGAGGATGAAAAGGGACTGTACTGGTCCTGTAGTATCACAACAAAGGAGCAACATTTTACACAAGAGAACAGGGGCTAGTTACTAACCAGTAACAAAAAAAAATCTTTACAGTTTATTTTTATTGGCATTTTAAGATGTCTTGGACTATATATTAGAAAGCTGAAAAAAATGAAGACCTCAGGCTACATTTCTGAATTAAATAACCACTTTCCCTTTAAAAATGCCAAATATCACCCTAACCTAGAAGTGAGATCCCACGATCCATCTGTTTTCCCAAGTCTGTCTTAAATTTCTATATACATGTGTAACAGTGAAAATGTTCACTGCAGAGCTCTGATTTTCTCACTTACTCTTCATACAAGTCAGAAAAAGCTCCTCACCACCAAATTTCAGGAACCCATGGAAGGGCTTCATTAAGGTGAAACATTGTCAGAAAGGAAGACAAGCTGCTAAACATTCAGGAGCGAGAGCTGGAATGAGCAGCACAGAGGCTTATCTTCTATCTGCAGAGGCTTATCTCCCTGCAGCTTAGAACAAACATAGCAGTTCCTGGGTGTAAAATGTTTGCTTACTTTTTAGTTGGCGCTAGTGCACAGGGAAGAGCTCTAGGAAAATTCCCTTGAGCAAATGAAGCTTTCTGTGGGCCAGCTACGAGAGCTTACCGTCATTTGTGGACAATTCACTGTGCCTGCAACTTCTGGTAATCAAATGGGTGAGTCTGTTATATATTAATATTTTTAAAAATCCAAAAAGCAAGCGAAGCAAACCCACACTTATGAAAGTTTTTATCCAGTGTAGCAGCTGTAGCTTTTGCTTTCCTCCAGCACTTGCACTGCCCTGCAATGTGTTGGATGTAGCCTGATCCTGACAATTTGTAAGTTACAGCAGCAGCACCACATAAAAGCATAACCTTCGCCTGAAACTTGACAGGAGCTTTTATGGTCTGTTCAATTGGCTCTTGTTCCCTTAAATATCCCAGCTTTTGAGCTCAGTTAAACAGTTGTGACCCATTTCCTGCACTTTGAAATGAAACAGTTAATTAATCCGGGTTAATAGTATTAGCAGGGTCTATTACAGTACTTAAGGTAATGACACACAGCTGTGTACTGTGCTTCTGCCAACACCTCGTCCAACAACCAGAGTTCCAGATGTGAAGACACCTCCCAGCTGTCCAAGTGCCAGCACTTTTACTGCTGAATGCTGTTCTGCACAAACATTTAGGCTAGAAAGCACAACTTTCAAATTTTAACAGGTCTTTTTTTTTTTTCAGAAATAAGAGGTTCACTGAAAGAATAATTTTTTTTTTTAACAAGATGGTTCATTTTGGACAGTTTTGCTTTATTTCTGAGATATCAGTTGTAGTCAGTTCACTCAGGAATCTGTAATAATATGGAGACACTGAAGAATCAGGACAATGCAGAAACAGCTGCCTGTTTATGTGAATCTGGTACTAGCATTTAATCATTCTACACTTTAAAAATCTACTATCTTTGTTTTCTGGGTAGCTTGCTATTTTGTTAATAGCATAAATATAGAATCATAGAATCATAACAACTGAGAAAAGCTTTTTGAATTTCCTGTACCCACCCTAGAGAAAAAGCAAGAACATTTTTATTAGACTAAATTGTGCTGCTATGCAACACCACTAGCATGCAGAAGGTGTAAATGAAGACAGACATGAACTGTGTATGAGATAACTTATTTTATTTATTCAATTCTCAACTTAATTTTGATGCTAAAAATTGGTCAAAGGCACTTCAAAGAAGGTATTTAAGAAACAAATCCATATGGTGACCATTCCAGACAAATCACCAACTTTTATCTGCCATTAGGAACACAAGTATCTATAATTGCAAAGTGAAACATTCACAGGTTTTAAGTGGAGCATACTGTCCAGCAGCAATATTTAATTCTTTTAGACTATTAACAACATTTGTGGAGTATTTTAAATACAATATGGTAAAACAAAGCAAATTACACTTTTGGAGTTCCACAGATTTCTTGACAGAAAAAGGACAAAGACTGCCTTTCCCAGTGGTCCTGTATTGAGGGGTCTATTTTTATCTGTGCGTGCACTATCAGCATCAGTAACAGGTACAGCAGAGAAATAACCCACACTTTTCTGTCATACAAAGACAAAACACCCTGCTCAGATAACAAAGCATTTACAAGAGGTCTATCAGCTACTCAAATACTGACATTTATACTTCTGCAAGTGTAACAGATCAAATGGTAACAGCCAAAGAAAAAGTGATTTTTAATATACACTCCCACCAAAGCAAAGCAAAGACAGTGTCCTTAAAGGCAAAAGTACTGTGAAAAGAGCTTCCACAAAATGAGATGGTATAATCACCAGAGTGCAATCTCTTAAATAACACAGCTACAAAAATTAATTGGGAGTAAAAGAAGATTAAAATTGGCCTTTTTCTGCAAACAAAGATTAATACTCTCCTCTGCAAACAAACACTAATACTCCCCTCTGATTAAGACTAGTGATCAGAAAGTAACTTCTTGCCATTGTCAATCTTTCCTGAAGTGAAATCATAATAACCACTTTCTTAAGTAAAATCACATTTAACCACAAAGTTAAAATGTTACTCTGTCACATATGGGGACACTCCCACATCCACTGCCTAGTAATTTCAAGAAAATAGTTCAAAAATTTTAGATGAGTAATTTAAATCACTATGGTGCCAAGGAAAGCTTTTAGGTTTTAGAAAATCAAGAAGCCTCTTTCAGAAACCAAACCACAGAGAAATAATCTGCATGGCCTAAGTAAGCCCATGTTGCTGTGCCTCAGGAAGTCTCTCCATCTGAAATACAGTCTCCTTGGGCTGCAAAAATTCTCAAACTCAGTAAATACTTTCTCAAAGCACAAAGACCTGAAAGTGAAATAGCAGACTACTAATATTAGTGTAATATTGTACATGAAAATTATACTGTTCACATTCCAACCTTGTCCACTGAGGCTTCTGAAGGCAGTGAGATAGAAACCAATTATTTCAGAGGTATCAGCTCATGGTTATGGCAATACAATTCAACAGAGAACAACAGGTCTCTGTTATAATCACAGAATGTAAAACCTGATACTTTTCTAGCTTGTCTGGAAAGAAAAACAATCCTTTGCAGTGCTATTATAAAGGCAAAAGAAATAGATTCAGAGGCCTATGCACAAGGACACTTTAAAACAAAAGCTGACATTTGAAGAACAGGCTACTTATTTCTCCAGACAGGCCACCCATTTCTCACAAGGCAGTGTGTCCTTAGGCTTACTCCCTTCAGAAAGGGAACTTGCTCCTTTACTTTTCCAGTCTCTCTGTGGTCCTGCACATTTTGTGGAAGGGGATATTCCCACCCTGCTCTGCTAAACCCACAAGCCTCAGCTGGGCAGCAGATAAGAACTAGAACTGCTGCTGAGAAAAGGCTTCACCCTGAGCTCAGCAGTGGCTGGTTTACCTTGTTATCCCAGCAAACAAGGTGTGTGGAGCTCAAACATCCTGCTTCCTCCTGCCTGCCTGAGACATGCGGGATGAAACTGGAAAGCCTGAGACAGGGTAGTCAGGGCAGTAAGGAACATGAAGAGGAAATGCTTCACGGGACAGCACAGGGCAAACATACGACACAAATCTGCAGAAAATATGCAGGATTAGTTCTGCCTGTTGTGGTAGAAAATCTTTAAATCCCCATGGATGAACTGAAGAAGAAAGAAATAACGGAACTGTACAGTAGCTCAACATATCTTTTACATGGGCTGAATTTACAAAGAGATTAGGGTGGGATCTCAATTTCATTTTGTAACTTCTTTAAGTACTCCTGAATATTTCAACTGCTTGTTTGAACAATGCCATTGGAGTTATCAATTCCATATGGATTTCACAATACAATTGGTTTGTGCTGCATGTGGGATAAACATTTAGCTCACAGAAGGAAGCGCCTTTCAGCATGTTAACATCCACTGTCCTCTGGACAAGCATCTCTCTGACTACAGCAAACTGGTGACTTTTTCCTTGCTTTAACCAATGCAGTCATAATGATCTACTTAAGTGAATTAACATAAAATAAAGCTCGTGTCCCTATCAGTACTTCAGAAGCAGTGCTGCTCATAAAGACCAACAGATTTAACCCTGCAGGAACGATTTAACCAATACCTGATAGATGAACTCGGCCTACATTAAGGCAGAGAAGATGCATGAAGCATTTCAACACCATGAGCTGTTTCAGTAATTACCATTGTGCTGCAGAGCAATGCTCAGAAAGAAAGTAATGACTTTACTGTTGGACAACAGAAAGAACTCCAATCTGTACTAGAACTATCTTTGGGAAAAAAAAATTCCAGTACTTTATGGTAACATCATCTTCCAGGAACATCCTGAAGGACCAGCAGTAGTAAATAAGGCTGTCTGCTACCACTATGTGCCCTTTTAAAAACAAAGACTGGAGGTAATTAGGTTATGTCCAAATTCATCAATATGATGAAGGTGAAAAATAACAAAAAGATGAAGAAACTTCTGTTCAAGTGTGGAATAAAACACAACATGTCACTCAATCCCATTCTCCATACTGCTATTCACTCAATTTGAAAGGGAAAAAACCAGAAAGTTTTATATTAACTCTATGAAACATACATTTGAACTCTGAAAAAAAAAATCAATAATTAAAACAACCATTTTGTCCCACACCTAGAAAGTGTTTCCAGTTAAAAGGCAGAGATACTTATGAAGTAGTGGAAAAAGTTAATGCACTTTGAAAGATTCCTGCATTCAGGCCTGCTTACATGAATAACTATGCACTTCAGCTCCAAAAACAGTGAAAAAAAGGATCATTTAACACTTTGTGCTGAAAAGGTAACAAGAAGCAAATACAGAAAAAAATTTTTAAAGTGGAAGAAAAAAATGTTCAGAAAAGTGAAATTAAGTACTTCAACCAAATAAACTGGCTTTGGTGCAGTTTTAAAATAGGACATTTCTCTATCTGAGAATTTTAACCGCTAGTGAAAATTAAAATGGAAACAAACTAATTATAATAGTGGCTGAAACTTCACTAAGGTACTATTCTTCCTGGTTTATGTGGCAGGTGGGATGAAAGAATAGAAGACAGACTTTTATTTTCAAAAGCATCTACCTTAGGCTGAGAAATGCTAAGACGAATTTTTATATCCATTCAACCAAAAGGACAAGTTAATAAAACTGGAAAAAAAAAAAAAAGCCAGAGGCAAATATGTAAGCAGCTTGCATCACCTCAGCAATTTAAACACAGTAACTGTTTCTGGTTTCTCTCCAGAAGAGTATTCCTCCCCAAAAACTTGATATTGTTTTCCACAACAGAATTTAAAACTTTATAAGTAATTCATAGCAGTGAATTCTGTTTCTCAAACAATTCAGATTAATCTTGTGGCTGAAATTCTGCCACTCTGTTGTTAAGGCAAAGCAGACTGGAGAATCTAATTCCATGTCTTTGCCTTACTTTTAGGGCAAGGTACAGAACGTGACTTCAAGAGGTTGAGAATACTTCAGAAAGCCATCATGATGTGTTTGACTGGGCAGTATCCAATTTCTAATATTAGAACTGACTTAATGGAAAGGAAATAGAGGAGAACAGAAAAAGGAACAGAAATGGGGTACGATCATCTGTGAACCTGTCCACTATGATTTTCATACAAATTCTCCCAAATATTATTGTAGCACAGCAACCTCCAAATTCACAGCTTTAGGGCCCCAAATCTTTGTGGGCAGAGCTGCAAGGTCACACCATCCCAAGCAGCCAGAGCCAGCACCAGGCTCTATTGTACACACGGTGACAGGAAGCGCTGCCAACTTGATTTTTGAAATAAGAATCACCAGGAGTAATTTCAGTCCACAAGCTTCATGCACAAGTTTGAGGAGACTCTTCCTCATTGTACTGGCTTCTTTTTTGGTTTTTCAAAGTCCAATTAGCTCTCAGAAGTTTTTTGCTTTAGCTTTTGATCATTCTCCAGTGCTTCATTTTTGCTCTGCTCTTCTGGATTCTTTGATGAATCAGGATTGTACCTATACAAATACCCATATGGACGAAGATGATAAATCAAATATTCCAAATGATACATAGTCACAGAGTCAACATAGTGGAATGAAACTGCTAGATCAGAGCAGCATCCAGGACCCTGAAACACAAAAAGCAAAACAATCAGCAAGAATGGCCAAGCATGCCCTGGATTAAAGATCTGGGGAGAATTCAAAGAAGTACTTGATTTAATGGTAAGAAATCCACTACTATCAGTCATATGTGTACTTCAAAAGTTAATGTTAGGCAAGCAAAATGTACCAGACATATCTGCCAAGGCATCTTTCCAAAATGAAGCTGACAAAGTCTCTTGCTCCTGTGATCAAGCCAGTGAAAAAACTAGCTGCCTTCATTAACATCAGAGGTTTTCTGCTTTTCCATTTTTAATTTTTGATGCTGGGGTTTAAACAGCACAAAGAAGCAGCAAGCAGGCCTAAATGAGTAACATTGATATATGAAACAATAAATGCCTGTTACTTATGTCAGCATCCAGACAGAATGTATAAACAAAACGTGTGTGTACCTGCACCTGTTTGTGTCGACGTATTATACAGTTTGGCAGTATTGTCAGTATCTAACTTCCTACTGATAAAAACCTGTAACAAGTAATTGCAGAATTTTGTTTTAAATGTCTTGATTTCATTGACATTATTAAGAGCTATAGGATCGTTGTTAACACATTTGTCACAACTTGTATTTTATAGCTCAAGTTTGAGAACACTTTCCTGGAGCACAGTTTTGGGGTTTCTTTTCTCAGCAGCTTTGATTGCAGAGTTGCTAATATTTCAAATCCAACTGGAATGAAGATTAAATATTTAAAGACACCAAAGAGAACAATTGCTACGTAACTGTCATTCTTTCAATACTTATGAAGTTTGATCAATATAGTTTGACTTTGTCACCAGATGAAGTGTCTCTGTCCAAGCACAGGTAGGACAGGACAGGACCACACAGGCAATTTCCATTCTGATTCAGTTACAGATGGAACTGTCCACAGCTCAGCCACCCAGGCACTGCAGCCTTCGCTAAAGCTGCTGCCTCCTGACACACTTAATACAGTGTCATACAGCTGGTGTAAGCTACAGAAATGCTTTAGCTGCTGAATACAAGTATAAAAATAGATTGCTGCTTTACAATGAAAAAAATCTACTGAAGAACCAGATTCTTTTTCAGCTTTAATATGTAAAACTTCCAAATCCTGTTTTTGAATTCTTTCACCTAATGCTAATTCACACATCACACGCTCACACACATCATAAGATGCACTTGACAAAATGGATACCAGGCTCCTCAGGACTTACCTCTACAGCAGGATAGTAATTGTAATTCCAGTACCAGAATGTTTTTGGTAGGTATCCTCTGATTAAGTGATGTTCTGGAACGAACGGATGAAAGGTTTCTCTGCCACTTGTATCCCTAGAATCTCCTGCTTCCACATTGATGATCTCCATGCATTTTCCTAGTGCCAGATCTTCAATGGAGGAACTGTGAGTGCATTTGTTCGTTTTAAATGCAGCAACAAATCTCTTCAGAGCCTCTTTGCTCAGAACATATCCTGCTCCTCCACTCATGTAGCCCTGTTTCACATAAGGCTTAAACCTTCTCCCGAAGTATATTGGTTGCTCAGGACTGTATTTTGAAAGAAGCCATCTCAAATTGTCCAATATAACATATGTATCATCATCTGCTTTCATAAACCAATCAGCATCATCAAAATAATGGTCATATACGTATTGAAAAGCTTTAATAGTCTTCCAGTACAGTTGATCCCTGCCTTCTTTGGTTTCTAGGCCCACAGCTGGGAAGTCTTTATTTTCCTCAGAGCTCATAAAAAGTACTTTATTACAGCGTTGGGCCCAAGTGGCCTTAACATGCTTGGCTTTCTTTTCTAGATTTTGAGGTCCAGTCATGACCCAACACAGTATTTTCACCTTGTGATACAATCCTTCTGCAATATTTTTATCCTCATCTAAAAAAAAGAGGAAAGTCGTAAAACCATATTAGACATGATTGCCAAACAACTAACAGCAACCTCCCCCTCCTCAGATACTCTGTTTCTAGATAGAAAAGACATGCAGACAGAAAAGAGGCTTTTGCTTCCAAATGTAACAGTTAATGAACTCCACACTAGATTCTGGAAGGAAACAAACAAGACTCTCAAAGATTAAAATTCTTAAAGCTATTTCAATTTCACAAGATAAAGGAGAGTGTAAGTTATATCAAAATGAGTGTCTGTTCAGGGAAGTTTGGCTTTAGCAAACCTTGATTTCTACATAAAAGCTGCTCACAGGCAACCTCTTTGTGGTCTTGGAAGACTAATGAAAATTTTAAAACAGAGTATTTTTGCCATTCACAATGAATAGAACTTAATTATTACAACACAGAGAGCTAATAAGTTCTTTTATATATATTCATGTTAACTAAAAAAACCTAATGAATATTTCTAAACAAGCAAAATGTGTTTTAAGAATAAAGCAAATGGTAAACCAGAAATAATTTATCAGATTAAGTAATTTAGGATACTATGAAACTACTGTTATTGTTGATAACATGTTTTTATTTGCACCAATCCAGCAGAATAAAGACAGTTATCAGATGTGTGAAACAATGTTTTTCAAAGCATTCATTGCTCTTAAAGAAACATTTTCACTCGATACATACAGAAAGATTTCTGCTCACATAAAAGAATATTTCATGGACAGTGAAATCTGCACAATTGGTACTAAAATATTCCTGCTTACACTTTATGCAACTATAGATCAGATTTCTCTGTAACAATGTTCTACAATCACATGTGAAACACTCACACACTCATCTTACAACGTTTGGAGTTTAAATATGTCTAAATAACAAGTTATTTACTAACATCTTCAACAAATGCATTGCAGCGCAATTTTTCTCATCCAAGCTGTCCCTACTCAAACACTCTCTGTATTTGGGATTTAGAATGAACTCATTTAATAAAATATATATAAAGTGTAAAAGTATTCCTGAAGTATTGGAAGGGTCTACCTTCCCTGGAAAAATAGAAATAACCAGAGTGCAAGAGAATTTCTCTGGCTTTGACTACAAACAGCAATCTGTGCCTGGACTGCTGTGTAATCAGCTTGGCAAATCATGCCCACAGTGACGCCCTTTGCCCCCATGTTCCAAGTCTGTGTTTTACTAATTGTACCAAAAAGTGATTTTTAAAAAATTGCATTTTGGCTTTATCTTAGAGGCTAGATCAAAAGTTAGAAGTTGTCCAAAATCAGCTTCTTAAGGCCAAAAAGCAATCCAGCCACATCTACAATGCTAGCAAAGATATCTGCTTTGCCAAACTGCCATTTGGTGTCAATAGCTCATTTGAGAAGTTACTGCTCCACAAGTCTGGATGCAGAAGTTGGACAAACAGCTGGACTCCAAGGAAAAAAAATTACTACTGTAATAAAAATGTAAACAAAGAAAACCACCATTCAGTAGACCTCAGGAGAAAAAAGTTATTTTGATGTAACCTGAACATGAGGAAACTGAATAAAAATGATTCATATAAATTCTTGGCAGTGAAGAAGCAACGTTTTGCAATGCATGAAAAGGGAGGACATTTGCTAACCAGCCAGGTGTAACAAAATACCTTCATGCTGTCCAGCATCTGCATTGAAATTCATTTGTCCTTGCAGCTGATTGTTGTCAATATCTGCTGAGTGCTGACCATGTGGATCATTGTGAAGAACATGAGGCTGGATCTTAACCTGTTCTTCTAGTATAATGCTAAACAGAAGATAGCAGACAAAAAATCCTATTGCTGAGCCAAAAGTGAAGGTTAGAAGGTTCATCAAAGACTTAGAAGCGGCCATCTCCTGAAGGTGAGACACTGTCAAAACCAAATGAAAAATACATTAGACTCAACATAGTAACCAAATCTAAAACTATAGGAAGAAATCAAGGACTAAATCTCTGAAAGCAGAGAACTCAGTTCTAGCTCAGTTTCAGCTGCCTCGGGCTTGCACAGAAATTTAAGTCCAAGAGCAATGCAAATATCAATATAAGATTGTACATCCATTGATAGTGGCTGTACATAAAAAAACCTATTAATTACACTTATACAACATTTAAACAAGAATGTATACACTGAAGTGCAATAGCTTTATAAAAATGTAATATACATACACTTTTTATTCTCTTCAGCCTACAAAACTGCACTTTAAAATGTAATACCTGAGTCTATTATGAAGCTAAGAGATGATGATCGATGGCAATCTACAGGTCAAGATACAAAATGTCACAAGATGTTAAAACTCCAGCCAAAATGTATAATACAGAATGTCACAAGTTGTTACAAAACAAAATGTCACAAGTTCTTAAAACTCCAGCCAAATGTATAATACAGGAATTCTTAACATATGTCCATCACAGGCAGATTTTGAAGAGTTATAAAAGCAAATCTACTCCCAAAGTAGGGCAGTTGTCCTTACACTTTTAGGAATTACTGAGGATTGACTTTCAGAAAAGAGAGTAAGGCAACATTTGAATTTTCATATAGAAACACTAATCTTTCAAAGGAAGAGAAGAAGCAAGTAGATCAGCCTTGAAGCCTCTTCTACACTTCAAAAACTTTGTATTCCAGTAATAAAAACACCCCTTCGTATCAGCCACGCCCTTGCTCCTCAAAAACTACAGGACTTCACTGACCATTTTTGTTAAACCAAATCAGCAGCTATGCCTGCATAAAGGGAGTTCTATGCATCAAAAATGAGTGTGAATTTTAATATATTAAACACTCGAAAACCAATTTCAAGTTGTTGAAGGCTTTTAATCTTTGGAAAAAGTTATTTTCTAATAACTCATGACTAAACTACAAAAACATTGACTATTAAATATACACTGAATTCAAGCCAGAGCCTTACAAACAAGTCAATGATGTTCCCTCCATTAGGACCATTATTAATGACAGTGAGCAGAACCCAATTTAGTTCATGAGAGAGCCCAAAAAAGAAAATTATGGACTGCACAGAGTGTCAATGAAAACCATAGATCAGAAAAGAGCTGCAGCCACCAAAACAACTCATTTAGCCTGCACCCCCTCCTCTCACTGCCTGGGCACATATTGGAAACAGCCTGTCCCCAGGCAAGCTGCATCAATCACTGTGCAGCAACACACGCTCCAAACCCCAGCTTTCTGTCTGCTCTTCTGCTCTCCTGAACACATGTGTGCATCTTGTTAGGCTGGCACTTTCAGAAATCCATCAGATTTACTGTACACATGCAGATCAAGAACATTTGAGAGTGAAGCAGCTCTTACGTGTGGTAATGCTTTTCTTTCCACACTGCTAGAAAAGGGAAATAAAATTGAAAACGCAACTCAAAGCACAAAATAAAAATCAAGAAATATACAGGGCATATGTATATAAAAAATATTACAGCTGTGGTTGATAAGGAGCTGTAGGTATTTAATATGAACAACCACATTATGCAATTTTTTAATTGCACATTGTCTTCCCTAAATTCAGTACTACATCTTGGTGGAGATAAATGATTGCCTTTAGACATCATGTCACAAAGCAAAAAACTTACTGTCTAATCATTTGTGACCCAGACCTTAAAAAAATTCCTTGGTTGACAGCTTTATTTCCAATGTCTTGTACACCACTAAATTGAGAAGAAAACATGAATATTTTTATCAGGTACCAAAAAAAAAAAAAAAACCCACGCACACAACCAGCCTATGACAATGCAAAGGATCTTCTGTAATAAGGTTATTTTGTTTTGTTTTTGCTTTCCCCATCTCTCACCACAAAGTCCCCTCAAAATTTGCAATATACACAGGGAGATGGCCAAAATAAAACAATGCCTTCTTTTGGTACATTCAAAGTGGGGAAATATACAAACCCATGCATGCCCACAGGGTACCTACACCACCTTCTAGAAGAAAAGGTTTCCACTGTTCTACTTTCCAATATTAGGTGTTTCTCTGCCATACAATTTCAGTTATCTACTCCAACAGCTGTTAAAATTACTCTTGCTAGGAAAGAAAAAAAAAATGAAAAGAACTTGAAAATAATTGCTGCTCATTTAAGTATGAAATTATGTACAACTGAATTCTATAGAAAAAAAATTAAATGTGCTGGAAATGCTGAAAAATGGAAAAAGTGCACCCATCACATTGGAAAGCAGAAGCTGATTTGGCAGTACTTCACACACAAAGAGGATTTCTTGGGACAGGTAGTAGCTGTATTTCATATTTGATACAAAATGCCTCTAATTACAGTTTTCAACCTAAAATAATCTGCTTATCATTCTATCAATTTTATAACAAAAGAATAGGTCACAATAAACATGTGTGGGTGTATATCCACATGTCTATAAACTCCAACAGTAAACAGGACAGAAATTTTTCATTTTTTATGAAAATTTGATATTTCACATAAATTGAGTCTTTAACTTGAAGCAAAAATAACACTACAGCATCACACTAGAGGAACCAGAAAATGCCTAAAAGGAAGGTCAGCTGTCAGATGATAAACATCCCCACTCCTTGCTGATATTCTCTTCTACACACAGATTTATTCTGGGGGAAGACAAGCAAAACAATAAAGGCCAGGCTGGATGAGGCTTTGAGGCACCTGAGCTAATGAGAGGTGTCCCTGCTCATGGCAGGGGCTTGACTTTAAAAGGAGCTGGATGATTTTTAAAGGTTCATTCTTCCTTCCAACTCAAACCATTTTGTGTTGCTACAAGTCTATGACATTTAGAGAAGGAAATGTCTATTTTTACTTCTTGAGTTAAAAAACACACTATGTTAAAAAACACCTACAACAAAAGGCTAGGTTTGATTTTAATTTATGTTCCACTGCTCTATCATGGAAGCTTAAATAAATACAGATATTTAGATATTCATGTAGGTAGCCCTATTCACATCAATCAAAACAACAAATACTTTCAAATTCTAACACAATGTAAGAGTCATTGAAGATTCTAAATTTAGGTTTCCTGAGTCAACAATTTCTACATCTTCAAGCTTACAGAAAAACTATTTTTCCTGTGTTAGGGGCTGCTGAACCTGGCAGCCCATTGACAACAAGGCTGCTGCAACTCCACGTGCCCAGATCCAGCCAGGCTGAGGATGTATTCCCAGAGCTGTGCATGCAAAGATGCAAATACACATGGCTGACCACAGAGATCAGCACAGATAAAAACAAGTGCTCATGCAGACACAAACATGGCCTGGCCTTATGCTGCTCCTCCCCACAGCTGCCCAGGACAAAGGCCTGCTACTGGGGAATACACACACACACACAATGTGGTCTCTACACACACTCTGTACCTGGTCTCAGGCCCTCAACCTGTTCAGCAGCCAAGCCTGAATCCTCAGACCCCCAGAGCCCTGCTCCTTGTCAAACTGATGACCCTCTGATCTCACAGGTACCTGTGCCACGCTTACAGCTGCCTCAAAGCCTGCCTCCCAAGCCTCTTAATCCTGCCCACTGGCTAGCCCTGTGTGATACCCACATGCAAGCACCTGCTGGCATCCTGGCCAAGGCTGTGCCCACGCACTCTGCTCTCCCTGTTATGGGCACTGCAGGCACACGAGCCCCTGTGGCTCACAGCTCCTGGGCATTTAGGGCCTCACTCACTGCAGTCCCTCCACTGCTGGCACAGAGATCCCTACAACTTACTGTGCATCTCCAGCATTGCCTAGAGCTCAGTATGCACACGAGAATAGGGCACAGAATCCTCTTGCCCAGCAGAACAGCTAGAAAGGCACCTTAATGAGAAAAGAGGACACACACTGTGGCAATCTGGCCTAGGACACAGTCAAACAGACTGACCAGGCCCTTTTATTTCCCCATACTTGTTCCTCCTGAAACCACCTTCCTTTAGTCCCTCCCAGGAGCACCCCATAATTTTGTGCAGTCACAAGATGCTTTTCTCTTGCATCCCATGTGACCCATATTTTCTAGGCAGTTAAGCCCCTGATCTTGTGAGCTGTTCCAGACAGCCCTCCTGGGGACTGCTCTTGCTGCACATCACACCTGGGCAAGGGGGCTGGTGGCTCCCCAGTGACAGAGCCCGGGGCTGACTCCTCTGATGACACTGTGCCTCCTGCTGCTGAGCCTTTGAACACGTTCATCTAAATTACTGCTCTCACCCTGCTGTTCCGATAAGGGCTTTGGGTCACTTCCACAAGCCAATGGAAATTTAAGGGAAAACCATGCAATATGAGTACATAGCAAGAGCTTGGCCCCACCACCAAAAGAAAACAACCCAACCACTTTTAAAATTAATACTTTTACACAAACTCAGATGAACGTGGACCATGTACAGAAACACATTAAACAAAATACCAAACAAGCGGAAATACCCCAACCCCAAAACAACATAACAACGAAAAATCCCCCAAAAACCTCCATAACCATAATATCTAGGATATTGAAATTTACAGAATGCAGAACATAACTCTAATTTTAAACATGTTTACCCCACTACCATTCCATAATCACTTTAAGATTCGATTAAGTTAAACCCACATACAGGACTGATTCTTTCTTGTATCCCTTACTTAGGAATCAAGGGGGAAGCTCTGAGGCCCCGTGATGAAACAACGTAAATGCCCTTTGAGAGCTGCATGATCAGCAATGAAATTGATCTCTACCACCACGTCCTTACCAGTCAAGCAACACATCAGAATAATTCGACCAAAACGTAGGAAAAAACGTAGCTAGCTATAAATAAACACTCCTTCTGTTCCTGAAGTAACATTTATTGCTAGTTGCTCTGTATATTCGTATGCTTCTGAAATGCAGCTAAATGCACAAGTTGTGCATTCGCTAACGTTATCTGCATCTAGGATTTCCGTGAGCCTCTGCAGTTTCCTATCGACTAAGCACAGATCGTATCCTTTCACTTCAAATATCCAATGTTATGAGCATTCCTTTCAAATTAATTCCTGCTCGTTCTACCAGAAAATACAAACCATCAAAGTAAGCTACTTCGGCGTAGGAGGCCAACAACCACAATGAAACGAGACGTGTAACAATCCACAGTACCAGGGGGCTGGAAGGAAGGTTTGGCTCCTCCTTCCTCATTCCAAAAGCTGACGCTGTCCTTCGGCAACAAGTGTCCGCGGCCGAAGCCAGGCTCCCAGCCCTCAGCCAGCGCTGCCCTCCCTACGAGCGTCCGCCCAGGAAGTCCCCGCGGCGGGGGCGGGCGCGGGGGCTGCCCGGGCACCGTGCTGCCTCCGCTGGGCTCCGGGGGACTCGCGCTCTTCCAGGGATGCCCCTGCTTTGGCGCCTCTCCTTCCCAGGCGTGCAGCCGGGCACCTGCCATCCCTTCTCGCCGCCGGGGTGACCCGCAGCGCCCCGGTCCCGCGGGCGAGACGCTGCCCCGAGGCCCGACCCCGACCCCGCCGCCGCCGCCTGCCGGCCCCCGGCCCGGTCCCCCCTCACCTCTCGGGCCGCCGCGCGGGGCCCCGGAGCGCGCTCAGCCGCGCGACAGCGCGCGGGCACCGGCTGTCCGCGCGCAGGGCAGGCCCCGGCCCGGGCCCCCGCCGGCCCCGCCGCCCCGCGCCGCCGGCCCCATCGCGCGCCCGCCCCGCGCCATGCCGCGCGCCGCCCCGGGCGGGCGGGGGAGCGGCAGGGACGCTGCCCCGCTGCCCGCTGATTGGCCGGCGGGCGGCCCGGGGGCGGGGCCTCCCGGTACGCGCAGCTTTAACCCCGTTCCCGCCGCGGCCGCCGCGTGGCACCGCGCCCCCGCCCGTTCCACGGGAACGGGAACCCTCCCCTTCCTCCCCGGGAGCCCGGCCACGCCACCGGGCCGGGCCGCGAGTAGCGCCCGCGCCTCCCGGCTGCGGCGGTGGGCGAGGGCGGGCGCCCCAGGCCGAAGCCGCAGTGCGAGAGGGTGGCCGGCCTGTCCGCCCCGCGCGATGGCTCGGCCCAGACTTCGAGGGGTGCGGGGAAGAAATGTCACGGCGGGAAGGGGAGGGCGCGGGAGCGACTGAGGAGCGCCGAGCGGCAGCTCCCCGGAGCTCCCGGCAGTCAGTGAGCGGCCGGCGGGAAATGCCCCGGGCAGCGCTGCCCCCCCGCCCCGTTACCTCGCTCTCGCCCGCCTGGTCCCGCCTGGCAGCCGCAGTGCCGGGCGCTCAGGCCGGGCTGCGGAGCTCCGCCGCGCTCCAGCCCCTCATTTCCCTCACTTCAGCCGCTCTGGAGCCGCTGCTCTTCCGAAATACCATTAGGCAGCTGCAAGGATGTTGCTAGGATACCGAGCCCTCTGCAATCGCTTCTTATCTCCCTGTGCTAACGCTGCCTACCTTTCCAACAGCTCTTGACGTTTTTCTGTCGGCGATTTTCTTAGGCAAAAGCCATATTAAATAAGAGGAATTTTAGATTTGGAAGGTGTTTTTCATTACAGCGTAACTGAAAAAATAGCATTTTGGCTAGATAATGGAGCTCTGCATTTAACATATAGAAGGTTTGTGTTGTGGTTTGTTTGGGGGGTTTGTGTGTGAGTGTGTTTTTTAAGTACTGGGTGCAGGTACTTGCAGAGAAGGACTGGTCGATGCTGAGGGCCATTAGTGTTTCTGTAAATGGAGGTCACGGCACACGCTGTTCTTGGCTTTCCTGCTATTCTTCTCCATCCTTCCTCCAGCCTGTCCATGGGTTCAGTCCAAACTGTAGGTTTCCCTCATCATTGCTGTAGATCTGTTTATTTTCCTTCTGTCTCTCCTCTCCCCAAACAATTATCACCTCAGGGATGTGCCCTTTCATCTCCATTTTCATGTCTATTTTTACTTCTTTTTCTCTGGACGATGAGTCACACAGAACCATTTAGGCTGGAAAAGACCTCCAAGATCATCGAGTCTCACCTATGACCAAACACCACCTTGTCAACTAAACCATGGCACTAAGAGCCACATCCAGGCATGTCTTGAACACCTCCAGGGACAGTGACTCCACACCTCCCTGGGCAGTCCATTCCAATGTTTAAACCCTTCCATGAAGAAATTCTTCATGATGTCCAATCTGAGCCTCCCCATGCGCAGCTTGAGGTCACTTCCTCTTGTCCTGTTGCTGGTTGCCCAGGAGAAGAGCACAGCCCTCCCCTGGCTTCAACCTCCTCTCAGGCAGCTTTGGGGGCGATAGGGTCTCCCCTGACCCTTTTTTTTTCTCCAGGCTGAATACCCCCAGCTCCCTCTGCTGCCCCTTACATGACTACCTATCCAGACTGTTCATCAGCTCCATTGCTGTTTTCTGGACATGCTCCAGTACCTCAATATCTTTCCTGAAGTGAGGAAAGATAGACTCAGCAGTTGAACTGTGGCCTTGAGTCATTTAGGAGGTGCTGAATGTACCAATTTAGGAAGCTCCAACATTTCTCTGGGTCATAGTTTCTCATTCCTGCCCCATCCCACTCTGCTACCCCCTTTAATTTAAAGTTACAAGCAACTTGGTGAATAGTATCTTCTTGAACTGGTTTCATCATGAAAGGGCAGGCTTCTTATAGTGCAGAAGTTTGATTTGCTTTAAGAAAACCAACAATAAACAATAACGAAGACAGGCAATTGCAAAGGCTGTAAAACAAAAAAGTATTTATCTATCTTATTTTTCCCTTTTTTTTACCCCTACCAAATTTGGATAGAATTACTGTCCATTCCATGTTCAGTGCATGCTTTAAATTCCCAAAACAGATTACATGAAGTTTTCAAACTGTTTTATAATACAGATTATGCAGCCTATCTGAGTTGAGTACAAGACTTCCATTTTGCCCAGTGAACTTTAAACCCTGGTCTTGCATCACAGGAGTTGAGTTGATGCAAGGTTTGGCCATGTTGTTCTAGCAAGGACTGTGGCCCATGTACATTACACATCTATAAATTTATGCATGAAGTACAACACGTTTTTCATACTGACATGTTCACTGAGCTGTTTCACTCTGTTAGGCTAGTTTGAAAAGCAAATTTCAGAGAGAAGGTAGAATGTGCTGTAAATTAACAAAAGCCACATCTTGCATATTAATAGTGGTACAAAAAGTTTGTTTTGAGAAATGCGACTGGTTTGGCCATGTTGTAATGGCTGTTTAATATTTTATGGAGATATTTACATACCACATAAATAAGCAGGTTTTCCCGGTTGATCTTTTTTCCCTCAGGGAGAGATGAGCAGTCTCTCTTACAGCTCTCTAGCAGCAATCTCTTACAGTTCAGAGTAAGGAAACAGGCCCCTCCAAGGGACTGCCTTGCTCAACACACTGCCTCTGGGTGGGTGGTCAAGGGAAAAGCTGTTCTCTTGTTCTGAGGCAAAAGGGGCAGCAGCCTGGTGCCCTATCTTGTTTCCATGATGTGCAGATCTGTGTGACCACAGTCCCTTTCTACACAAATGTACCACTGCTAGGGGAGATTCTCCTCAGCTGCTGAGAAAGCCCAGCAGTGTTGGGGGACACAGTCATACCACAGTAATATGGCAAGGAGATTCACACCACTTACCTTCCAGCACATGTGGCTAGGAACAAATGAAAGGAAAATTACATTTCTAGTATTTTAATTCTAAAAGGAATCAATCCCTTTGGTCTTCACATTGGTAAACACAAAGAATGAGACCTTCCCCTGCCTAGGAGGGCCAGCCATATTCAATGTAAAGACTGTTTTGAGCAGGGCAAAAGCAGACTAGCAGGCCTTTAATCCCTCTGCTCATCACTAGGGAGGTCTCTGTGAGATAATTGTCTGAGCATTTCAGTGCTTACACCCTCTGGAGGGAACTCTGGAGTATGGACCTTCCATAAAAGCCCACTCAAAGGTCAGCTACTGCTCTCAACTTCCCCCATTTCTACACAGAGGAGTCTGGAAACACAGAAAAGGAAAAGTTCACACAAAATTAAGGCAGAAGGCAAAATGCAACAGTTGCTGTGAGGCTCTTCAGTTTGGCAAGTCACTAACTACAGACATATCATTTAAATATGTATCTCAAGTTTAGCTGGGTGTGTATTCAATTACCATCTATTAAAAGTAGAGTAGTTATCCTCTGTTAATTGGGCAGTTTATCTCTTCCACAACCAGTCCTCCTGGGGAGATATCTTTGGTTAATGGGTCATTGAGTCACTGCATGACTAATAAAAATTACATCATCCCATTACGAGCTACTCCGCCCAGAGAGAAGAACCAAGCATTCCTACCTAGATATAATCTGAGATTTACAACAATAGAAACAGCCTTTTCCAGCTGTTCCCAGAGGAACAGCCTTTCCCCACTAAATTCCAAGAAGAGCAGCTTTCTTCTCCACTGAATTCCCAGAGAAAGACCAGGCCCATCTACAGCACCACTCAACCTTCAAAAGAAAACAACACCCTTCTACAGGATCACTGCTTCAACAGAACCACAGCTGTCACTGCAGGAGGACTGCAGCCACCATTCAACCAGACTGCTACCAACACCCTGACCAACAGGGTGCTACTTTGTATTCTGACTCTGTCACTGCTTTTGATTGTACTATTGCATTTGTATTTTTAAATTTTCCTAAATTCCTATTCCCATATCTCTACCTAAGAACCTCTTAATTTCAAAAATTATAATAATTTGGAGGAATGGGGTTTACATTTTCCATTTCAAGGAAGGCTCCTGCCTTCGTTAGCAAACACCTGTCTTTTCAAACCAAAACAATATGTAATTGGTATCTAATAAATATCTGTGGTGAGACTGATTGCCTTTGGTAGATAGCTTTCTACAAGCTAATGGTAGTTAAGGAATGATGTTTTCTTAACATTT